TGCAACACTGAATATCTACATATGTAGCAAGTAAATGATATTTATATCTGCTTCAAGTTTAATAACAAGTTCACAACAGAGGGAAAATAAAATATTGAGGACTGGTAGGACTATAATAGAAGGCTTTTCAATGCTCAGAATGGAAGCAAAAGCAGCTTCACCCCACAAAGAATGTCATTAAGAGTCAAGAATGTTTATATTTGCTTAAGAAATTGAGAGTTACAACTTCCTGCTTTAAAGAATTAACTTTAAGACAGTTACCATACTGTAAGCAACATCTATACTGGTGCTTTCTTAAAGCTATTTTTAGTTCCTGCTTTTTCTTATGTACTCCAGAAACTCTGCAAAGAAAAGCTTCTATTCAAAGGCTTAAATGAATAAAAAAAAATAACACTACATTGTTCTAAGTGTTCTCTGTACTGAGAGTCACTTCCAAATACAGCACCCTGCCACAGGTCTTCATTTTTAACAATAAAGTTCTTTGTGCAATTTTTCATTTGCTATATGACTTTGTGTCAGTCTCTCACACAGAAGCAGAATGGAGTACCAGAAAATGACACATCATGTCTAAAACTACAGATGTGGAAGATGAACGTACACCAGGAAAAAGCTAAGTGGGAGGGTAAGGTTTACCTTTTAAGTTACCGTAAGTTAGTTACACTTTCTCCCTGCTTCCCCTGTGAAGTGAAGAGCTAGTTTTTTTCAGAAAAGCTCTCATTCTGAGAACTGTTTTCTTTAAAATATTTGGAGATTCTTTTTTAAGGTTCTTTCACTTTTAAGTCTTTCCCCAACTCTACATCCCATAACAAGTATTAAAATTATCCAATAGCCTATTGTTACAGAACATACTCTACAAGATCTGAGGTTTCCCAGGGTTTGGATCCCAGAACTCTCCTACCAGATAATCCTAAAGCCTTCCTTCCATAACCGACTCTTCTGCCAATTCCCAGCTGCAGGCAAGTTTGGCTTCTCAGACCAGGTAACATTCTAACTCTGCCTACAAACACTCTACTGCCAGTAAAGGAACTCAGAGAGGAAGCAAAAAATGTCCCTAATGAGGGCTGCCTCCTTCAAACAATCAAGATGCCATCACCAAGCAAATATTTAAACCTACTGCAAAATTTCTGAAGACATCTTACAAACAATATAGTTTCTATAGATGCATACTATTTGGTCTGGAATAGTGATTTCCAATGAAGGAAACAAAGGACCACATGACCCAAGCAATTTTTTAAAACTGCACACAACCATCCCACTTCACGTGAGGATTCAGGCAAGCCCGTCTTACAGGTCTAGGTGTAACAGAATGACAGCACCTCTAGGAGTCAGGTGAAAAGCAGGGAGGTAGACTTTTAGTGAAAGGGGGTGATGTAATAGGCCCCATCGCCCACTTACCTCCCACCACAGGACAATCATCCCAGATCAAGGACAAACACTTTGGGAAACAGAGGCTGTTTATGTTTTTTTATGGTTTTCTGGTGGAAATAATGCCCTGAGTCATGTGAAGTTGTGGCTGCAAAATTGAACAGGGGACCAGACATTTTCACATTCAGGACACAAATACTCAGCCCCCGGGTGGCCACCATATCTGCTCTCTCCTTTGCCTGTTCACCCCAAAAGCTGCAGGACTCCCCTGCTTGTAATGACACCCACTACTTCTCACAAATTCCTGCCAAGTTCACGTCAGCAGCTGGTGGTGTCAAAGTCACCATTTGTACTGCTCTGAAGTCCCTCCATTACTTTACATCCCTTTTATTTTCTCTGTTGTCTTCCTAGCTACACTTGCATTCAGAAGCTGGTTACCACACTAACATTGCCTCTGTAATTGGTCCAGGATATAGGAAGTAGAGATTCAACTGTAACCAGCCTCAGAATACTTGTCATGCCACTCTAAGTTTCCCAACAAAATACTCTGGCATCCCTCATCTCACCCAAAGAACCACCACATTACTTAGAGGTTGTAAAAGTAGACAGCTTTCTCCACTGGGAACACTGTGGCTTGTGGTAGAGTTCTGCATTCAGTTTTTGCAACTACTTACAAAAAGACATGTTCTGCAAATTTTCTTGAAGTGTTTGGAATTTAAACTTTTATTAGATACAGAGCTGCCGGACTAACTGTAATCTATGAACATATGATCATATTACCATATAATGTTCATGTCTGCCCTAGAGACATGTAAGAACTTGAATTACACCTGCAGCCTGTAGGCCTTTAGAATTGGATGTGAAGCATCCTGTGAGATAAAAAAAAACCTCCTATCCAGTCACAGAACACCTAACAGACAACATTACATTAATGCCACTGAATACATTAGTAGAGTCCATGTATGGTTAAGTTACATCTCCAATTTTTCAGAGCTGGAAAGGAGATGTCTTGAAGAGCTGGAAAAGCTCAATTACCAAAACAGCTCAAAAGTTAAAGCAGACTCCTGCACCTCCCAGAGCAGAGGGTGGAGGGTAGAGGGTGCATTGCCCACCACCCTGTCCTCCCCCAGGATGTGGCATGTGGGGAAGCAGACAGGAGTGGGTGGCTGGGACTCGGAAGTGGAGAGGTGATGAAAGCAGGAGTGGAACTGCTCTGGTCCTAGAACAACAGGGCTGTAAACACTCAGCTTCAGTTCAACCCGCTCCCTCTCCCACTTTTCCTCCCACCTACATGACAAACAGAGCACTGTCAGGCACTTTCTGCCCATGACAGTGACTACTATCAGGAAAGCGACCAGGGTAAAAGCATGCCCTATAAAAGATCAGTCTGATTTTAAAGACTATGTTATAAACAATGATCAGCACTGTCAGAGTGTGACACTTTTGAGGTGCTCAAATAGGGAGGAGGAAGTTGAGGATCCATTTCCAGCACTTCCATGTCTTTTATCATTCCTATTTCTGACTTTTCCTTTGCCACTTTTTGTAGCACTGCCATCACTGGCAGGTAAAGGGGCAGCAATGTGACTTGGCCGTTTGGCTGATGGGGCTACATTCCCCAGCACTAGAATGAAGAGGCACTGGAAGAGGATCAGCTGGAAGATGTGAACCACAGTCCTGGCCTGTGCCAAACACTAAGCAGGTGACCCTGGATTAGGCTTTTAGTCTCTCTGGGCTTCTGGCTTTTTACTTATAAAAGAAGGTTTTGTCATTCCACAAATATATACAATATGAAATGTAACGTGAAAGTCAAACACAATGACATCTCACCTGCTTACCTCAGGGAACTGTACAAGCACTGAACACAATGTGAATGTAAACACAGAGTTAAGAAAACTGTTGAGGTAAAATGCTAAACTGAACATGGAGATAAAGTTTTAAGGATTTTCTTGGCTTTCTTTTTTAATTGCAACACTGAATTAATAGTTATTAGCTATACTCCACACCACCACCCATGTGAATAAATAAAGTAAGTAAGCACTGCCTGGATCCCTGCTATTGTCCGATGCTAAGCAGGATGAGAGGTATAAAAGAGGCTGAACAAGGGAGTCTTCTCCAGTTATGAGCTAAGTGAGGAGACACAATGGAAACCACCCAGGAATGGTACCTAGTCAGTACTCAAAGCCAAGATTACAGGCTAACAATCATAAACAGTGCAGGAATACAAAGAGGAGCTAGAAATATTTGGAGTAAATAGGGAAGACTCTATGAAGGGGATGGGGCTCCAACTAGTTCTTGGGGCAATTCTAAGCTGTTGTAACTGAGGACTGGATAGGAAAATGCTGGAGACTTCTGGCTTTTAATAAGGCCCAGGTTACCCTAGGAGGCTAAGGCACATAATGATTGGAACACATAAGGTAAGGCCAAAATGATTGAGGGTCGAGACTACCTGGCTGAGATCTGGTTGTGGTAAGTCTTTGACTTGACTTTAGATGTTGGAGGGTCAAAACTGTAGGTTGACTGAAAGGGGGGGAGAGAATATCCAAGAATTCAATAGAAGGAAAAATTCATGTATCAGGAATGAAAGCTCTTCATCAGAGTATCAGTGATCAGAATAGACACTTGAAACCAAAAACATACAGTTCCAGAAGCTGACAAAATGTGGAGGGTGGTGAGAGAAAGATAAATCAAAGACCATTCCAACCCTTTGGGAATTCAAGACCAGAAGAATGATTATCCCACTGAATAAGTGGAGATGTTGCAAGAAAAAGATTATGAAACCAGCTTTAGACATGTTGAATCTGACATATGAGCTAAGAGTAGGTGTTCTCTAAGAAGCTCAAAATTCAAAACTGAAGCACAGATCTAGAGTACAGGCTTAAGATGCAGATGGACAAGACGTGATAAATCTCCTAAAAGAAAACATAGGCAAAACATTATCTGACATAAATCTTAGCAATGTTCTCCTAGGGCAATCTACCCAGGCAATGGAAATAAGAGAAAAAATAAACAAATGGGATGTAATTAAACTCGTAAGTTTCTTCACAGCAAAGGCAACCATAAGTAAAACAAAACAACAACCTACGAATGGGAGAGAATATTTGCAAATGATACAACTAATAAAGGCTTAATTTTCAGGATATATAAACAGCTCATACAACTTACAAACAAAAAGACAAACAACTCAATCCAAAAATAGGCAGAAGACCTAAACAAGCATTTCTCCAATGAAGACATACAAATGGCCAATAGGCACATGAAAAAATGCTCAATATCACTACTAAACAGAGAAATGCAAATCAAAACTACAATGAGGTATCAGCTCACACCAGTCAGAATGGCCATTGCTCAGAAGTTCATGAATGATAAATGCTAGAGAGGCTGTAGAGGGAAGGGAACCCTCTTGCACTGCTGGTGGGAATCCAGTTTGGTGTAGTCATTATGGAAAGCACGGAAATCCCTCAAAAAACTAAAAGTAGACTTAACCTATGACCCAGCAATTCCACTTCTGGGTATGTAACTGGAAGGAAATCCAATGTGAAAAGATACCTGCACCCCAGTATTCATAGCACCACTGTATACAATAGCCGAGACATGGAGGCAAGCTAAATATAGCAACAGATGACTGGATAAAGAAGTTGTGGTATATTTATACACTGGAATACTACTCTACAATGAAAAGGACAAAATAAAACTATTTGCAGCAACATGGATGGACCTAGAGATCGTCATTCTAAGTGAAAGGAGCCAGAAACAGAAAAAATACCAAATGATACCACTCATATGTGCAATCTCAAAAAAGAGAGAAAAAGACACTGTGAACTCATCAACAAAACAGAAACAGACTTGCAGACTTAGTAAACAACCTTAAGGTTACCAGGGAAAGGGGTTGGGAAGGGATAAATTTGGGAGTTTGAGATTTACAAATGTTAGCCACTATATATAAAATATATTTTAAATAAAGTTTTTTCTGTATAGCACAGAAACCTATGTTCATTATCCAGCAATAACCTATAATGAAAAAGCTGATACAGCCACCAACCGAGGAAGCAAGAGAAGAAAGGAGTGTTAGTTATGCTGGGCTAGAGCCCACTTCTAAAATCCTTGTCAGCCACTGAGGCTGCCCCGAGTACACTGAGCCCTCCTCCCAGTGACAGGCTGACATGACATGCGTCCTGCAAACCTGGGGCAGCAGAGGCTGTCCCCAGGTCTGGCCCTGGGGGAGATGGGAGCAAGTCCACCTGCTCCCCCTGGGGCAGCACCCCTCCCCGCAGCCCCCGCCTACTGACCGCATTGCGGCTGCCTCTCAGGAACCCACTGACTTGAATACAAGTGATCCACAAACCTGGGGCAGTGGCAGGGAGATGGGCAGCGACCTGGCAAGCTGGTCGATTTGCCCCTATCTCCCCCATGGCCTGTCCAGGGCTCGGCCTCTGCTGCTCCAGGCATGGCCCCCAGGTCAGCCTGCTCCCGGGAGGAGGGCATGGTGTGGTCGAAGGCAATGGTGGGTTATGGGGTCTGCCCATGGGAGCCCGTGGATTTGCTTCAAACTCCCCAGTGCATGGCCTGAGCTTGGCCTCTACTGCCCCAGGTTTGTGGAACTCAGCTTACAGGTCAGCCTGCTCCTGGAAGGCGAGTGTTGTGCTGTCAGGGAATGGCGGCAGCTGCCATGGTGGGATTGGGGCTGCCTTGTGAGAGTGCGGGGGTTGCGACCATTTCCCGCTGCTGCTGCAGCCATCCCAGCACACTGACGCAACTGCGCCCACCTCCCAGGAGCAGACTGACCTGTAACCTGAGTCCCAGGAACCTGGGGTTTTAGAGGCCACCCCCAAGGTCAGGCCGCAGGGAAGATGGGAGCAAATCCAGGGGCGCTCATGGGGCAGCCCCCATTCCATCAAAGGCCCCACGACCGCACCACATCCACCTCCCAAGAGCAGGCCATGGTCTGAGGGCCAGTCGGAGATGCTCCAGAGCTGTCCGGCGCCCTCCCACCTCCCAGGGCTGTACCTGCTCTCCTAAACCGGGGTATAAGCGGCAGCAAAAATGCGGGGTTTGGGAACTACTAATAGCGAGGTTACCACGAACCACAGTGGCGGCTGGGACCCACCTCAGGGTCCTAATGGGACGCGCGGCCTGGACCTCACCTCCGCACCCCTCACTGTGTGCCTTCCCAGCTGCACAGACCAGGCATCACCCACCAGCTCCCCGAGCAGCGCACCCCCACCAGCGCCCCCTTACCTGCCTGGCAGCGGCAGCAGAGCAGAGGGCAAGCAGCGGCCCAGACCCCAAGCCGTGTTCCTCTTCCAGGAGCTGGGCCAGGAGCACCCTGCTCCTGCCAGCTTCCACGCTTTCTGGGTAGGTTCCGGTGTCTGCGCATCTGTCTGTCTGCACATGCGCACCCCTCCTCCTCCCGCCCGCAGCGCAAACTGCCCAGGTGGGTCTCTCCTGCTTTACTGGACCTGGCCACTTGGGCCGGGTGGAGCCAGGTGGAGCCCCTCCTGCTTGTCCTGCCGGGTCTCCATCCCCAGAGCCTTCAACCCGCCATTGACTGGGTCCTGGCACTGAACTAGAACCACGACTGCCCTGGGCCAGGCCACACCCCGCCAGCCCCACTTCCCCTGCTCACCTTCCCTTCCCTGTTACTACTCTCCCACCCCTGCCCAGGCCCAATATCCCACCAGACCTTGAAGACAGGGCTCCTTCTCCTCACCGAGGTCCCTGCCCTTATATTCCATCCTGCTAGGTCCTAATCTATGGCCCCTACATCCCCAAACTTACTCCACAACCCTCACCACAGGATCCCCAACACCCTGAAATTCCCCCCCACCTCTCAGCCAGGTCAGTTCACTCTGAGCAGGCCCCACACCCCTCAACCTGTACCCCTTCACCACAGAATCCCCTTCATTCTGAGTGCACCCCTACCCTGAGCTGACTCCCTCACCCCTCACCCTGTGGTTGGGGTAGGGGAATCCGGGCTCCAGTAATGATGACTACTGCCACCAGTGGGGGATCCAGCCTTGTGTGAAACTTCATAGTTAATATCTGAGGCTACACGGTGAGGCAGGCTGGGCTGAAGGTGGTTCCAATTCCCTCCCTGGCACCCTGATCCCCGCACCCTGTGCCTCAACTGACTGAATGGGTCAGGGTGATCCCAGGCTGCCTGCCACTGGCCTGTGGGCTTTGGGTGATTGATGGCCTTGATGGTGATCTGGACCCCTGGGGCGGAGGCACTGGGCACGTGGACCTTTGGGGTGGGGGAGTTCAGAGGGTGCACTTGAGCCCAGGGGTAGACAGCAGATGGTGGGCTGTATGCATGGGACAGTGTGCATGGCCTGGGCTCAGCCCAGGTGAGTGCAGGGACGTTGTTCATTCACACCAGGCCAGAGGGAAGAGGGATGGGAAATTTTAAAGTGTCAAAGTTAGGAAGCCAAGGCTGGAGAGAAAAGTAGGCAGGTGCACTGGCCAGGTCACCTTGGAGCCTGCCACGACACTGTTCCCTTGCATCAGGGGAGACTGGCAGTTGACTGGCCAATGAGACATCCCCTGCTGTGGTATAGTTTACAGGCAACTGAAGGGATTTTGACAGGTAATTTTAATCCAATAATTGTCACTTTCTCTGCCGGAGATCAGATCCAAAGTCATGGTGATTCTGGCAGGGATCCTGCCTGAACTCCAGCCTGGGACAGTGGAGGACCCATCCAGGAATCATCCTCTTAGCTCTCACCAAAAGGCACTGTAATAGAGAAGAACAAATCTGACTCCATATTGGATCTGTTCCTTTTGCTTTAACCCTCTGCTCTGTTTTCTAGGCTTAGTCTTGCTAGTTCTGCACCTTTTATAAAACAATGTTGCCTTTAGCCTGAAATAAACAGAAGAGCCTATTTTCAAAGCTCTGACCTTTAAGGATATTAACACTTTTGCACTCCTATAAAGATAACAAGTTGCAGAATAGAAAAAGTTTGTTTTGTTGCAGGTTTTACAGGAATACCATGATCTGACCCACGTGGGCAGCTGCAAAGGATTCCAAGAACAAAGAAATCCTACACCAAGAAGTTTGCAACAACCAGCCACAGCCCCTCCCCTTTTTAGAAAAAAAGGAGCCTGAAGTCTGACTTGGGGAAGATGGTTCTCCAAGATATTAGTCTGCCATTATCTTGGTCTGCAGCTGTCTATGTAGACTAGGTCATAGTGCCTCTGTAAAACCTCTAAAAAAACAAAAGTTATTTTCTATTCTGCAACTTGTTGTCTTTATATAAGTGCAAAAGTGTTAATATCCTTAAAGTTCAGAGTCTTGAAAATAGGCTTTCCTGTATATTTCAGGCTAAAGGCAACATTGTTTTACAAAAGGTGCAGAGCTAGTAAGACTAAGCCTAGAAAAGAGGGCACAGGGTTAAAGCCAAAAGAGCAGATCTTCTATGGAGTCAGATTTTTTTCTTTTCTATTATAGTATATTCTATTTTCATGTTTTAAGTTTATAAGAATAAAGTTTAGTCTTTTGCCATTTTAAATTGTGCAATTTTAAGGAGCATTAAGTGCATTCACAATGCTGTGAGACCAACACCACTTGTTTCAGACTATTTCCTTCCTTAAAGTAAAAGCTTGTATCCAAAGAGCACCCCACATCCTACCTCCCCCAGCCCATGACAAGCCCTAATCCCCTTTCTCTCTCTGTGTCTTTACCTATCCTGGAGCTTCCCTATCAATGAAATCATACAAAAGGTGTTTTTATTTTTTTTGCCTGCCCACATATCTTAAGCAGGGATTGGTGAATTTTTTTGTTTGTTTGTTTTTACATGAATTAGCATTTTTGTATTTTGAGAGGAAAATCCAGATGGATTAAAGATGAGATGTACCAAATGAAGCCCTTTTAGTAACTCTGTGCATAATCTCGGGGTAGGCACTGCTGTCCTAAGTGTGAAACCAGAGCCAGAAGGGAGATGCTTAGCTCTTCCTGTGACAAAATAAAACCAAACCAAACCAAACCAGAAAACAAAGGCCAAGAAAGACAGCTGGAAAGACAAACCACAACCTGGAAAAAGTGTTCCTCGTGACCCATGGTTGGAGAAAAGCTTCACATACCTGTAGTCTAAAAACCTCCTGAAGTCCAGTGTTCTGAAAAGAAAACACACACAGGCAGTTCCAATGAGAGGCAGTGCAGGTGGCCAGTGTGTGCTAGAGATGCTTGACCTTTCAGGTGAGGACGCAGGCAGATGGACAGACTGCAGAGAAAGCATTGGCCACCATCACACTGGCAAGTCTTTAGCCCAGTGACAACCAGCCCTGGTGACAATGTGAGCAGGCAAAGGCCCCAGCAGGTCCCCTGGAGGGAAGAGCAAATGGACGCTCCTCTCTGGCAGAACAAGGTGCAGGATACATCAAAGTGCCACAGGTGCATCCCTTCCCTAGCAGTGCTGATCCTTAAAGCAGATCTCACCAAAGTTCTTGCACAATTTTCAAAGATAATTTTTCTTCAGTAACATGAATTCAAATAATCGATATGTCATCAAGGCATTTTCAGAAGTGACCTGCCCTGGGCCCTAACAATACATACACATAAATACACACATAGACACATAAATATATACACACATACATCCAGGAAAAGAGATAGACAGACTGAAACACAAAGAAGCAGAGGGAGACAGAGAAACAGAGAGAGAGACAAGGCAGAGAGAGAGGCACTGAGAGACAGAGTCAGAGAGAAGGAACACTGGAACTGGTAATGAGTGGAACTCATGCACATTTTCACAAGTCAGTCTACATGTCAGAACCTGGTCCCAATTTCCACCCACCCTCCAGGGGAGGGTGTGGGGATCACACAAGGGCATGTGAACAGAAGGCAAATAACAGGAAGCCATTGTGGGGCAGCCCACCACAGAGGCCGAGCTGGGACACTGGGCCTGTATGTCAACATGACAGAATGACCTAGGAGGTTGTATACAAGAGCAGAAAATGTCAGAGTTTTACTTAATTTCAATCCCACAACCGGGAGCTGGGAAGCAAGCAGCAAGGAGAGTGACTTTCTCCGGACCCCAGGGGAGACACCAGTCAGTTTGGCATGTGCTCTGTACTCTGACAGGCCTCTATGGGGTCCTTCCTTTGCTGAGTCTGTGCACAAGCTCCCTGTGATGACAGCCTGTGGAGGTGACAGATGCAGTAGGTGTTCCTTGGTCTAGAGACAGGATGGCTTCTTGAGGAAGCAGGGGCCAGAATGATCCCCACTGTGCTGATGGGGGATTGGGGAGACCCTGAGAGGCACGTGGCTTGTCCAGGGTGACAGCACTGCTGAGTGGGGGGAGCCAGGTGTGAACCCAGCTGTGTCCTCAGATCTGCCGCCCTGGCTGCATCCAGGCCTCCCCAGGGCTTTGGGGGTCTGAGTTGGTGTCACTGTGTGTGGACATGGCATGGAGTGGGAAATGAGCCATTGGCAGCCCAGAAAGTCCCTTGGGGAGCTTTGTTTAGGGAGGAGTCTTGGGTAAGGGGACCCCAGGAAGTGACCTCACTTCCCTGGCAATAGAGCCCAACATAACTTAGAATCAAGGTCACCAGGCACCCACTCTGTAGAGAAGTCCCTACTCAGCTCACTTGGTTGGAGACAGAGGCATGTTTGCTGCATCCCAACATCCCAAGGCCGCAGCCTCCAGAAAACCTGCAGCGAGGGGCTGGGTAAGTTCTCACTAGATGCCGCTGGTCTTTTGGCCAGAGAGACCCAGAGGTAACACAGGGAGGCCCAAGGCAGGCCCACCCAGGCCGGGTCACCACTCAGATCCCACCCAGATAGCCCCACGGCCCCTTCCTGGCTGCTGGAGGTGGAGCAGTCACGGTGGGGATGGGTTTCTGTCTCAAGCAAGAGCAGGTCAGAGGCCTGGGGAGCCGGTCACATCCACAGCCCAGGTCAAAGCTGGCTGGCTGGGATGTGGAGAGCTGGGGCAGGGTCCTACTGCCCAAGGTGGAGCCCGTGACCTCTGGGTGTGTCTCTTCCCTCCCAGGTGACTGAGCTGACCAAGGTCCCAGTCTGATCTGGCAGCAGAGGGTTGACTGGGCAGAAGCAGGAGTGGTCCTGGCCAGACAGAGCTCTGAGACCTCCGGCACGGGCCGGCTGTTGGTCACTGGTGTCATTGCAGAGCTGGACACCACAGGAGCTGGTGGATGAGGACACCCACGTCACCTCTCTGATTGAGGGGCTGATGTGCCATTGTTCTGAGGGCCAGCGCATTGTCCAAGTGAGTCTGGATATGGAGTGGTCCCCACCACCATGACCCAGAAATGAACCAGGCATACTTCTGGCCCAGACATCACCCAGGCCTCTCCCCAGTCACCTGCCCAAGGCTGACGGGCAGCTCAGCACACCCGGCTCCGACCTGGAGCACCATGCCCACCTCGCTGCAAGTCAGGTAGAGGGCCAGGAGCCCCCTGAAGCACAGCCCAAAGGTGAGAAGGGCAGGGCTGGTGCATGTGTGTAGGTGAGGGAGGGGTGAATGCTGGGCCACACAGGGAGGTGTCCCCAGAGGCTGCTGTTGGGACCAGAGCAAAGACTGCCCTCAGACCACCTGTTTGGAAGAATTCAGTCACAGGATATCAAGTGGGCACTTCCTGGGTGGGAGCTGTCTGGAAAGCTCTGGGAAGGTTTCTGTACTTGAAAAGTCACATAGAAAGGGAGGCACGTGGGTAAGGTTTTCCTCTCTCATAGCATGAGCACTTCCACAAGACTTAAAACTCTCTCCACTTCCAACAGTTACAGATCCAGAGCAGGCAGGGGCAGGGGAAGGTGCCAGAGACTAAAGAAAGGACTATCTGGATCCAGCAGGAGAACCTGAGCTCCCGCGTGCCACTCCTGAATCTCCTCCTGAACCTGCACGTGCACCTGGATTGCTGGACAATGGATAACAAATTCAGGCATCAGCACCACCTAGGGCTGAGTCCCCTCTGTGCCCACCCACACCTTCTTCTCCAAAATCTTACAAACAGTCCCCTCCCCCACCCGAACTTGACTTCCCTTCCACTGGAGATGTTTTTGTTTGGTTTTCTTTAGTTTCCTTGGTTTGTTTCACATCATTTATGGCATCCTTTATTTTTCTTTTTAAAGTTTCATGTAATAAAACATAGACTTTTCCCTTTTTAAAGTGTGCAATTCAGGAGCATTAGGGGCATTCACAATGTTATGTGACCATCACTACCATCTAGTTTCACACTATTTCTTTCCTCAAAGTAAAACCCTGGATCCAGAGCTTGCACTCCCCTCCCTCATCCCCCAGCCCCTGACAACTCCAAGTCCTCTTCCTTTCTGCGTGTCTTTATCTCTCCTGGGTTTTCCCTGTCAATGAAACTTTACAAAAGTTTTTTTTGTGTGTGCCTGCCCACATGTTTTAAGCTGGGGTTGGTGATTTTTTTTTGTGTTCACTTGAAATATCATTTTTTTTATTTTAATGGGATATCCAGGGGATTAAATATTTGATGTACAAAATGAAGCCCTTTTAGTAACTCTGTGCATGATCTCAGGGTAGACACTGCTGTTCCACCTGTGACATCACAGCCAGAAAACAGAAGGGAGATGCTTAGCTCTTCCTGTGGCAAAGACAAAGCTAAACAAATCAAAAAAATTAGCAAGAGCCCAGAAAAACAACTTGAAAGACAAATCACAACCTGGAAAAAGCATTCCTCATAACCTAAGGTTGGAGAAAGGTTTCCAATCCCTGTAGTCCAAAAACCTCTCAAAACCCAATGTTCTAAACAGAAACAGAACAGACATGGGCAATTCCAATTACAGGCAGTGCAGGTGGCCAGTGTGTGTTAGAGATGCTTGACCTCTCAAGTAAGGACACAGGCAGATGGAAACACTGCAGAGACAGCACTGGTCACCATCACACTGGTGGGTCTTTAGTCAGGTGACAACCAGCCCTGGTGACAATGTAAGCAGGCAGAGGCTCCAGCAGATCCCCTGGAGGGAAGAGTGAGGGGATGCTCCCTCCAGGAGAACAGGGTGCAGGATGAATCAAAGGGACACTGGTGCATCCCTTCCCCAGAAGTTCTGATCCTTACAGTTCATCCCATTAAAGTCCTTACACACCTATCCAAAGATGTCTTTTCAAGGGTGTCCATCACAGCACTGGTTGAAACAGTCAGAGTTAAAGCAACACTAATGTTGATGGAGAGGGGATGGGGTCCATTCTTTCTGGTTCATGTGGATGAATGAATGCTGTGAAATTGGAAAAGTGGGTGACTGGTCTCAACCCAATGTCAAGGATGGCCTCAGGGTGGAAGTATGCAGACCCACCATCTGCATCCAGGGTCCCATCTGCACAACCACATATGCGTGAAATCAGCATAGATGGAAATTGACCTGATTGTGGGTGTGTGAGAGACAGAGATGGAGAGAAACAGACTGAGAGACACAAAGGCTGAGACATAAGCACCAAATCATTCATGACAGTCACCTCTGTGGGTGGGATTTACAAATCTCTTCTCTTTTAAGTAATATTTCAATTTTTTGTAATGTGTCTGTATTGCTCTACTAATTCAAAAAGGATTAAAATCCTATGTTAATGTGACCCATTCATTACTCATCTATGGAGTAATTAAAGTACATTAATCCTATTTTTAAAAGAATTTAAAGCCTTCTCAGGACTCAAATCCATGTCAGCTCCATGGCAGTAGAGGTTCTCCAGGAGGTCGTGTCTGTTCTGAAGCAGCATCCAATAGAGGTGAGGATGAAGTACCAGACTTGGAAACTGAAGACTACAATAGATGAGA